GGCTCCTCCAGTCACTGTCACCTAGAGTGTCTTACCTACCTTTCTCCCAGCCCTAACTCAAACTTGGGCCAGCGTCCCCTGTGAGGGTGGGAACAGCGCCCTCTGAGGTCGGAGGAAATATTGCAGCCGAGGTTGATGCAGTTCCCCTCAGAAACTTGCAGGACATTAGGAGGTCCAGCTGCCCGCTCAGGGTTCTCTTCCACTGCCAGCTTTGGGGGCTAGAGTGAAGTTGCATTGAGCAGCCTGTTTCCTTACAACTAAAGGTTTTATATGGCCATTTGTACAAGCATGTATATGTTTTAAGTGAAATATTTCATGTACATGAGACATCTACAAAACAGTATTGTATGTAAGGTATACGTAATAAATTAATGTGTTTATACCCTATTCAGTTTGAGAAACAGAACATTTCAAGAACTGGAAAGGAAGTAGAACCTACAGCTTAAGAACCTGGAGTTTTGGAGGCAGCTAATTATATTGGGATCTTGGGTTATGTAATCTTTAACTGTGGAATCACAGACCAAATTATGGAATCTTAGCTGTGAAATCGTGGACAAAATACTTAAATTTCTGTGCCTCCATTTTCTCACTCTTATGAAAGTAATAGTACTTATTGGGCTTTTAAGATTATTAAATGAGTGTGAAAGTTACCTCGAACAATGCCTGGCAAAATAAAAAGCCCCATGAACACTCAAGGTTTTCTGTGTGTTTCCCAAATCCCTTTTCCCTAAATTAACTTTGCACAGTCTTGAATTTTGTGCTTTTCAGCCATTGCATTTATTTATAGATGTATCATAGATTTGCTTTTCAAGCTTTAGTGTGCATTAAAATCACTTGGAAAGCTGGACCCCACACTAATTCTAGGGATGGTTTTAATTCTAGGAATGGTCTATAATGGACCCTTGGAATCTTTAGTTTCAGCATGCTCACAGCTGATTCTCATGTTGGTGAGTAATACTGGCAAAGTAATACTGCCTTAAAATCTGCTTGACTGGGAGGTATTTTTTTTTTGGATAGAGGAGAGGAAAGTCTTAAAAATAAAAAAGGAAAACTTATGAGGCCGAACTCCCAAGATCTAATAATAGGACCCACAACTTGGGGAATACCCTATTGTTATATTCACCTCAACAAACATATGGAATACCAACCTAGTAGGTGCAAAGGAATGTGCATCTACTTAGGACTTTCCCTAGAGGTGGGAGATTAGTATCACAAGACTTAGGCTAGGTTAGTGGTCCTATTGATATAGCTAAAGGTGCAACATTACCACTGAAGGTGAGTGGGCCTCTTGAAAAACGGGAGACAGTTTAGCCTAGTGGTTTAAAAATGCTGACTGTGGCATGAGACAAAACTGTATCCAAGTGTTGGCTGTACCACTGATTGCGTGACCTAGGGAAAGTTTCTTATCTATCCTGAGCACAGACTCAATTTCCCCATCTAGAAAATTGTAATAATAGTATATTTTATGGTTACTGTGAAGATAAACAAGACAGTTCTTACAAAGTGCTTACTTATCATAGATCCAGTGTTCAATGACCATTATTGAACATGGTAATTATTGAAAACAGGAATCAGAGGCAGAACAGTCAACTTCAAGACTGTTCAGAGAATAGAGTATCCTGTATGAGGACTTATATATCTGGCCCCCATGGCTCAAACTTTGTCATGGCAGATGAATGCGTACGGCTGTCCCAGTTTTACTATCATTATACTTTAGTGATTCTTTCTCCTTGCTCCTGTGTCATCACCATGTGACATAGGGATCTTCTGATCACAATTTGACTTCAGTCTGTATTTCGTGTATAATAAGAAAGGACTGAGCAGAGAACTGACGGTCCATTCGCCATGATCACTGTTTTTCTCGTTATAAGTGAATTGACATTCTGGTTTACACCTCAGTCTTTTGGTATTGCGATAGCATCCCATGTAATGTATACTTGGATCTGACTCAATTTTCCAGGACTCTGCTTTCCTAGAGTCCCACCTAGAAAGGCAATGGCCTTCCCATCTTAGTGGCTAGCCCCAAATCTCTAAGGCATTGGGATCAGAAATCACTGCTTTGTAAGTATGACTGACCCTGTGGCCAGGTTTTTTTCCTCCCTTTATTTGTGGTAAAGTCCTCTTGGAATGTCCATTCTATACCACGGGAAACAAAAGGAGTAAATATAGATTTGTTCACAGTTGGGTAGTGCTCTGAAGGCATATGAGGTCAGGTAAGGGGATCAGAGATTTCAGCCTGAACTGAGTTAGGGTCTCTTGTTCAACCATCCTCACCCTCTATCCCACATAATGTATCTACCAGAGCTTGTTGTGACTCCAGTGTAGGGAAGCATGCATTGGGTTTTCCAGGTGAGATAGCTTCCTGAGCCCCCAGGGTCTACGGAGAAACTCAGGAAGGGGTAACAGAGGACCAGCTAACAGTCTTTAACCACCTTGCTCAGGTGCCAAACCCTACTAGATTAGGGATATCCCCAGAGCTGACCCGGTGATCCTCTTAGACAAATGGGGATTAAAGGCGATCAAATACCAAGAACCAGAGATCCCCCATGTGCTGTCATTTGGCCCCATTCTCAGGCTGAAACTGACCACAAGAGGGCCTGAAAGAGGCTAATAGATCTTCAGAGGAAGTCATTTCCACTGGGCTGTGGATCCACATCTGTTCCTCTAAGTTCTACCCCTGGTGACCCTGCTCTCTTTGGAACTGCTTTCCAGGCACTTCCCACCAGAGTGTTATGATGTTTCAACACTCCGGTTGTTATCAGCTTTCCTGAAACCCTTGATTGACCCACCCATCCTGTGTGCTCCTGCAGTCTTTCCCTATCAAAACACTCACCACATTATATGTCAATTGCCTAATTACACATCTGTTTTCCCATGGAAGCATGAACTCTTTGAGGGTGGAGGGACTCTTATTCACCAGCAGAACCTAATATGAGGTGCCCAATACATACATTAAGGAATTTCAAGGGATCTGCCCCACTATGTTTTCCCACCTAGTTTCCCCTTAACTTGTTAACTCTGCCTTGGAAACCAGAGTAGGCTAATAACCCTTAACACGGTCTTCCCAGGGCTGCTATTATCAGAGGTTCTCTGAGAGGTTAGGGATTAGGTATAATACTGTATTATCCTAGTAATAGCATTATGGACCTAATGATGTCGATATTATCCCCTTTCTGAGTTTGAGAAAACTGTGACTCGGATTGGAATGATTTACCTTTTGTGACTAGGGTAATCAGAACCCACATCTTTGAACTCCTGGATTTAGAGTTTCTGCAGCTATCCTCCAGGTGTTTTAGTTTTCAAATTTAGCACATCACATCCTGCATATAGGCTAGGTATTTTATCTTCATTCTTATGAATCAGAAATCCACATTCCTAGTATGAAAACAGCCTGACCTAGTTCACACAACTAGGAATGATAAAGCCCGGATATTTGCCCAGGTCTGTAGGCACATGCTCTTTTCTGTACCATGCTGCTTCTTAGTACCAGAAGGATCGGGCTGAGAGAAAATGGTCCAAGGGTGGATGTGTAATCAGGGAGGTGAAAACCCAAAGCTAACCTAGCCCTTTTGCCACCCACCCCTTCCCACCCTAGGCTGCGGGAATAGCGCCCTGAGCTATGAGCTGTTCCTTGGGGGCTTCCCTGACGTGACCAGTGTGGACTACTCATCAGTAGTGGTGGCCGCCATGCGGGCTCGGTATGCCCACGTGCCCAAGCTGCGCTGGGAGACCATGGATGTGCGGGCCCTGGGCTTTCCCAGTGGCTCCTTCGACGTGGTGCTCGAGAAGGGTACACTGGATGCCCTGTTGGCTGGAGAACAGGATCCCTGGACTGTGTCTGCTGAAGGTGTCCACACTGTGGACCAGGTGCTAAGTGAGGTGAGGGAGCAACAATAAAGGCAGGAAGACCAAGAGGTAGGAATTGAAGGGTTGAAATTTCAGAGAAGATTGGAAGAACCCAGAAACCAAAAGGAAGCATGGTTTGGAGCATGAGTGGGTCACCCTCAGGACTGGTTCCCTCAAAGAAGAGGCGATTAGAGTAGGTCATACATAACAGAAGGGGCTGGAGTGCCATAAGGGTGCGGTAGTAGCCCTGTTCCAGAGAACACAGAGTGGAAAGGTGAGCAGCTGATGGAAAGCAGTGCCCCCTGTACCTGCCATCACTCCCACGCTCCTACCTGTTTAGAATATAGCCCTAGTCCCACAGAATAGCCATGGGTAGAGTAGATTCACTCTTCTGCCATGAAAAGCCCTGAGCTACTAGATGTAGGGTAGTACCTGAGTGCACAGTGAGCTGAGGCTCACTGTGAGAGCATCTGGGGGCAATACTGACCTTTGAGAAGCTAAAGTTGGACACTTCACCAATGGCTTCTCTATCTGCCTTGCAGGTGAGCCGGGTGCTGGTCCCTGGGGGCCGTTTCATCTCACTGACTTCTGCTGCCCCCCACTTTCGGACCCGACACTATGCCCAAGCCTGTTATGGCTGGTCCCTGAAGCATGCAACATATGGCAGCGGTTTCCACTTCCATCTCTACCTCATGCACAAGGGCAAAGAACTCACTGGGGCCCAGCTTGCTCTTGGGGCCCAGCTCCTCTCACCCTCTAGATCTCCCACCTCACCTCACTTCCTCCAGGACTCAGATCATGAGGACTTCCTCAGTGCCATTCAGCTGTGAAACCAGAAGCATGGAGTCCTCCCTGCCCTTCTGCTCTGGACTCCTCAAGTAGTTGGAATTCCTGACTCACTGCTTAGGGTTTAGGCCCAAGGTGCTTACATCCCAGGGGATCATGCCTTAGATGGAGCAAGTGAGAGCAATCCCACATCAAACAATACAGCCCAGGTCAAACTCGAGTCCATATCCCAGGGTTTTGGGTTCTCAGATCTCCCTGGGGTCTCCCCAACTTCCTCTCCCACTGCACTGTTTCATCCTCTGGTGCAAAGCTCAGCAGAAGCCCTCTGCATGCCAGTCAGACTGGAAATCTGCACCCTTGGAGCCTGTTACTGACCACCATCCAACCTGCATTTAGCCACAGGTGGCTGTTTTTAGACTGATTGATGCTTCTGACCCTAACTCTAGCCCCAGCAATCTGTTCTGCTTAGGTTGTATATTTACCCAAGGAGGCCACATTGTGATGCTGTTCTCAGGCCAGGCTGGCTAGCCTGTGTTTACTTGGCAACCCTTCCCTGCCGGTAACATGCACCTGAGATTCCCAAGCACCTGCCCCCTTCCTCCCCAAAAGGAACTGGAGGCAGTTTGGTCTGACCCTGAGCAGACTAAAGCAGTGGCCACACACACACAGGGAGGTCTGTGTTTATTCACACACTCCTGGTACAGTGAAGATGAAGGAACATTTACAAAGGACACTCCTGGGCTGAGAACATCTCTGGGGCCACAGGTGTTGTCCAAAGGTTCAGAGCAGCCCCCATTCGGGGACCCAGGCGTCCAAGGTAAAATCAGACTTGGGCCCTGGGAAGGTGATACTTTGTTGTGGGGTGGGGGGCGAGGAGGGGCGGGGTCTGCCGGAGAGCTACCTGGGGTCAGGCCTGGGCAGACTGATCGTGTGGTTGGTTACCATGTGGGGCTTGTCCCATCCCAGACTCAACACAGTCCTATCTGCCAGGCGCAGAAGAGCGTGGTCGAGACCGTGGGGTTGGGGGTGGGGGGGCGGAACCATGAGGGGAGCCAGTAAACAAAGAGTCGGATATAAAAATACAAATGTGCTGAGGAAGTCCCTTAGAAAGAGGCTGAGGCTGGGGTCACATCAGACAGGGATGGGGGCGAGGAGCGGCCTGGAGGGCTGGGCTCAGGTGGGTGGGAAGCTCATGCAAATACGCAGCCTCACATCCCTGGCCGCGCGGTCCGACGCCGGCGGAGTCTGCAGACGAGACTGGCCGGAGAGGGGCGGGGCAGGGGAGCCGTGCGGGAGGGGGCGGGCCGGGCCGGGCCGGGGGCTGAGAGCCGCGGGTCTCTGTGTCCGTTCCGGTGCGCGGGGTGGGGCTGCGGCCCGAGGTTCTAAAGTGCATGAGCTCGGCGGCGGGCTCCGGGCTGGTCTGCGCCGCCGCTCCCGCCGCCGCCGTGGTGCTGAAGCGGACAGCTCCGGAGCGTCTGGCGGCGGCGGCAGCGACTCTGACCCCGAGGAGGCGCAGCCCGGCAGCCCCCGCCTGCGGGCGCCGGGGCCGGGGTCGGGGGCGCCGGCAGCCGCATCGCCGGCCCGCGCTCCTGGCCGCTGCGGGGCTGGGCGCGGAGCCCGCCGCCCGAGCCGGCGCGTCTACACTCCGGACGGCGGCTTCTCCCCCATCCCCTTCAGCACGTCGTCTATCCGGTCATCCTCGATCACCACTGCGCAGGGAGAAAGCGCGTCAGCCGCGCGGCCTCAGGGGGCGGCGGCGAAAATGGGCCCCGCGTCCTCGAGCCCGCTCGGTTCCTGCTCGCGACCCAGCGACGCCCCTGCCCCCGCCCGAGGGCTCCCCTCCGGAGCCGCCGTGCCCTTCCCGCCCGAACTCCCGGTGCCCATGCAGCCCCGCAGCCCCGCGCCCGCAGGGCCCCCTCCCCGCCCGGGAGGAACGCCCCCTCTCCCCAGGGCTCCGAGCCGCGCAGCCTCCCGCGTCCCGGCCCGCCGGCCACCCGAGCGCCTCTCCGCCCGCGCGGCCGGGGAATCCTGTGCTCACGGGCTCTTCTTCAACCCCCATTTCCACAGAGCCCCCTCCTCAAGCGGAATCTCCGTGGAGTCCAACCCTCTCCCCAACTTCACCCTCCTGCCACTCACACCCGCTTGACTCTAGCACCAGCAGAGCCCCCCCCCATGCACACAACCAGGACAGCCGAACCCTCGGGCCCCCTGCCCTCTTTTTAATCGGACGCCCTTCCCCGCCCGCAGGTCCTTCCGTAGCATCCACCGGCTCCCGGGCTGCTCCTGAGGAAGCGGCGCACCGCCCCGCGATCCTACTTCCAGGCTGCCCCAAATGCCCCGCCGGCCCCTCCCCCTCGCCCGGGGCCGGGGCTCCGCTTCCAGAGGCGGCGCGCGCGAATCCGGGGCACCGCGCCCCCGGGAGAGGGGGCGAGGAGGACGCCACGCCGCCGCAGGGACCCCCTCCCCTCCCTCCAGCCCCGGCGGCCACCGGCCGGCTGCGTCGGTCTGCGGCAAGAGCTGCGGGCGCTCGGCGGGGCGCTGCAGCCGGGGGGGCGCCCGGCGGAGGGTTTCTGGGTCAGGCGACGACTCCGGGCCCCGGCCGCGTACCTCTCTTGGCTCGGCCGATCTGGCCCAGCTTGGGGGGTCGCTTGGCCTGGTTACCCGTGAAGAAGGAGTTGGTGTCCTGCAGGCGGCAGCTGAAGGAGAGATCGGAGCCCTCGGGGTCGGCGCCGAAGCGGCCCATCTTGTCCTCCCCATAGGGCAGGATCTCGGACATGGCGGGCGCGGGGTGGGCGCGAGACTGCGGCGGGCGCGAGAGGCGGGCGGGCTGCCGGACCGGCCCTAGCTCAGCAGGGGAGCCGGCGGAAGGATGAAGTCATGCAGCATCCGGGGCTGCGGAGCCGAGCGGGGCCTCCTCCCCCGCGCCTCCGCCTCCCGGGCCGCTGGGCAGGCGGCGGCGCCGGCGGTGGCGGGGACCGGGCGGGGGCGGGCGCGGGGGGCGGGGGCGGCGGCCGCGAGAGCGGAATGACGATGAGCGCCCCACTGCCGCAGCGCGCGGCGGGCGGGGCGCGGGGGGCGGGGCGCGCGCCGGCCCGGAGGGGGCGGGGCGCGGGACCGGCGCGCGCCCAACTCTCAGGGGTGCGAGGGAACCGCGGTGGAAGGGTCCTGCACAGACGGCGGGAGCGTCGGCTGAGCCGCCGGCGTCCGCCCGTGGAGGAGGACCTGGCGCTCGGGCTCCGAGCGGCGCGCTGGGGGGGCCCGGGATTAGGGGGCGGGGCCGGGGGGAAAGCCAGAAAGCTGGGGGCCTTGGAGGGGTTGGGGAGAGGTCGCAGAACCGCGGCGGGGGTGGGGGCAGGGAGGGTCCAGTGCGGGGTGAAGAGTGCGCGACGGCGCGAACCCTCCCGGCCAAACCCTTGGACCAGCAGGTTTCCCCGGGGCTGGCGCGCTCTTCTGGGCTTGAACTGCTGCTCTGGAGTCTGTGTCTCGAAAGCCCTTCTGCGCCTCAGTCAGTCACTGGCTATCTAGATGTCGGTCCCTTTTGTCTGCTCGTGTCTGTTTCTGCGCCCCTGTCTCTGTGCCACGGCCTCCAGCTGCGTCTGTCACTTGCGCGTCTCTGCCCCCCGGAATCTGCGCCCATGCTCGGCCTCTGTATCTGGGTGCCCCTGAGTCTCCGGGCATCTCGGGCTCTCCTAGGAGGGGGTCTCGGTAACCGGGCCAACGCGCGCGCCCCAGGCTAGCCCTCCACCACCAGCCGGGTTGCTGGCACCCAAACTCCAGCTTGAAGCGCCCGCGGCGCAGGAGGGCTCTCCGGGCCGGCTCTGCCCGCCGAGTGCGCGCGGTGTAGGAGGAATGAATGGCGGCGTAGCGGGGATGGGGGTGGGGCGCCTGACTGCAGGTGACGTGGGGAAACCCGGAGCACCTGAGGACGCGACGCGCGCCTATTTGCGATTGCAGGGAAAGGGGGAAGGACGGAGGGCGCCCCCAGCCCGCATTTCGGAGCTCACGTGACAGTTCTTGCCTGCATCCTTTGGAACACGCCCTCTTCACCTCCCACCTCTTCACGAGCGGCATTCCGCCGCGCGTCAGCAGCTCGCTAGCGCAGTGGGGTTCTGGCGCAATCAATGGCCTGGGGCTGTGGGTCTCACTGTTGGCGACAATGACGACAGCACTGATAAGAGTAATAATCATCTGATATGTTCAGTCCTTGGACCTGACTGAGCGTTTCCACTGTCTCTGAAATGCTTTTTAACCTTCTTCCCTCCAAATCGCGATGCTAATGATGCCCTGGTGCTGAGTCTCCTTCCTCCAACAACTTAACCTAGTGATAATCCTGGGGATGCAGAGGCAGGTGAAATAGTGGCTGGCCCTCAATACCAGAATTTGGTGGGGAGGAGCGGAGAGTGCCATATCAAGCCCTCTAGCCTAGAATGAGGACTGAAGCTGGAATTGGAGGCCCAGCTGGAGTGGGAGAAGCCCCTAGACCTGGAAAGACAAAGAGTCCAGAGTCACTCGTAGAGAGTCCAGAAAGTTTCCACCCCTGCTGGGATTGCCCAACAATGGCTTACAATTCTGGCTCTACCACTTTGTGTATGCCTTTGCACTACAGGCCCATAATTACAGTTTGTAAAAATTAATTCATTTGTACTTGTAATGCTTTAGAAATATACAGAAAAGCAGTCTTTTCCTCAAGCATTTACACAATATGCATGCCTCTTGGAGCCTCCGTGTTCTAGTGTGAAGCATAGAGATGATAGAAACTACATTAAAGACTGTTTGGTAAATGAAATTTTTGCCCTGAAGTGATTTGTCTCAGGAAATAATGAGCTACCTCGCACCCAAAATGCCAGAGGGGCCATGACAGTTCTTGCCAAGGACTAGATGACAGCACTGGTGAGGAATTGCAACAATTCTTTTCTACCATACCCCCTCCTCAAGAAGACTGGAGGAATCACAATTTAACTTGGAATTCCTTTAATTAGCACCTTCTTAAATAATCTTCTTACTGTTCCTGCTCTCCATGCTGGATCATGACTAAAGCAAAAGACCTAAGTGAAAATTATAAAGACAAAGCAATATACAAACTTCAGTTATGTTGAAAGTTCCACATCCCTTCCTATGAGACAAAATTCATTTTCACAGTAAAATGAAATAATGTTTGTTTGTGTTGAATTTCTTAATTAGAAATCATAACCATGTGGATTCCATCTATATGTTCTAAACAGAACAATATACCTTTTTACAACTGAGTATTGGTGGCACATTTATCAAGTGGAGATTGTGGAGTAGGTTGAAGAGGATCTCCCCTAAAATTCATATCCCCCTGGAACCTCAGAATGTGGCCTTATTTAGAAATAAGGCTTGGGGCCTCCCTGGTGTCACAAGAGGTTAAGACCAACCTATGGAGCTGTCTGCAGCCACGGCAGCACGAGTTCAATGCCCGGCCAGAGAGCTACCCACATGGCACAGCAGACCTCTCCTGTCTTTCCCGCTGCTCCCCTCAACATTGTATTTTCAGTAAATCTCTCTATTCTGTTCCTCACTCTGGTGAGTCCAGAGTGAGTCTCTGGTGAGTCCTCTCACTCCTCTGGCCTGTACCCCAGTTCTTATATGCATAAATAAATAAATCTTTAAAAAAAAAAAAAAGAATGGGACAGATTCACAAAGATATACACACTGGGAAGAAAGGAATATAAAAGAGCAGAGACAAAAGTGACGCATCTACAAGCCAAGGAACACCAAGGATTGCCGAGAACCACAAGAAACTGGAAGAGGCAAGGATGGATTCTTCCCAGAGCCTTCTGAGGAAGCATGGTCCTGCTCATAACTTTATTTTTTAGTTCTAGACTCTAGAATTGGGGCCTCCCTGGTGGCACAGCGGTTGAGCGCTGGGCTGAGAAGCTGCCCACAGCCTCTGCAGTGCCGGTTCGATCCCTGGCCACCGGCAAGGGTCCCACATGGCACGCAGACCTCTCCTGCCACCCGCTGCTCTGGTCAGCAGTGTACTTCGTCAGTCTACCTGTTCTGCTCCCCGCTCTGACTCTGGTGAATTCTCTTACCCTCCCACGCTTCTGACTGTACCCAGTGCTTGTATAAATAAATAAATTTTTAAAAATAAATAAATAAAAAATAGACTCTAGAATTGTGAGAGAATAAGTTTCTATTACTTTAAGCCACCCAGTTTGTGGTACTTTGTTACAGCAGTCCTAGAGGGTAAATCAAGATTATTTGGGGCTATCTTGCTATATCTCTCATGATCATGTTCACTTTCCTTAAACTATTTTGGGGGGCCCTTTCCTCCCACCCTGCCCACTAGAAGGAAGCCCATGCCATGAGACTATTTCCTTCTATTTAGCAGAGATTGATTAATTACAAAAAGGAATGAGGCAGATCTGTGTGGGCTGACATGGCTTCCAAGGCCAAGAATGTCACCAAATAACCAATGTACAGTATGACTTCATGTATGTGGAAATAGTATATACGTGTGCAGAGGCGACACACAGACATGCATGCACATTGTCTATGCTTAGGTATGTAAATACATATAAAATTTTTTGGAAGATAACACACCAAGTCATTAATAATGGTTCTCTAAGGATGATACTGAGATCCTGGCAGAATGAACTTCATCTTTTATTCTATGTATTTTTTTTTACATAAAGACAATTTATTTTAACAGAAAATAATTTGAGGAGACAGCAACCATAGTGACCTCCCTTCCTGTGGGTGCTTTCAGATGGGATGGGAGTGACATCCTCAATCCACCCTAATTTCATTCCTGAGGTGTCACTGTGCCCCAGGTTCAGGAGTCTGGGTCAGATTTCCTCCTGTGGCCCAGAGTCTGATGTGGAGGGCAGTGATGCACAGTTCCTTATACCTCTGGGTGGCCAGAAGGGCAGCATATTGAGAGGATTCATCTCAGTCAGCCTTCAACTTCAGCCCACTAGTTACACAAGAGATAATTTCCTTGCCAGAAAGATCTGTGACATAGACAAAAGTGTCACTGAAGTATGCAAAGATGTGGCAGACACAAAATACATTGTCCCCTTCAGCCACCTAAGGCCCAAGGCTGATGACTTGTTCTTTCTTCTTCTCCTTCCCCTTGTGAATCAAATCTTCTCCAGACTCTACCATCAGAAAGAGCTATTCAATGTGCTTTTGTAATATATTACATCTGCAATAAGGCTTTAATAATTTTTTTCAAGATTTATTTATTTATGCATACAAGAACTGGAGTATAAGCCATTAGGTGCTGGGGGGTGAGAGAATTCACCAGAGAGAGTAGGGAGCAGAACAGACAGATCTACTGAAGTACACTGCTGAGTGCAGCAGCAGGTGAGGCAGGAGAGGTCTGATGTGGGTTGCTTCCTAGCTGGCTGGGGATCAGAACTTGTGCTGCAGTGGCTGGCCACAGCTTGATAGCGCAGGGAGGCTGGCTTTCACGATTTTTAAAAAAGCTTTAAAAACAATGATATAGACTCTTTACTAAACATCATGTCCTGATCCTATTACTTGACTTGGACAAGAGAACATTATTTAAGAGCATAGAGTTTAGATTCAAATCAAGGATCTGCTTTCTACCTTTTGTGTGACTTTGAATATACTATTAAGCTTTCCTGTCCTTTAGGTTCCTCACCTGTAAAATAGGGACAATATTATTGGCAGAATCTGTCTTACTGAGTCATTGTGAGTATTAAATAAATTAACAGATGTAAAGTGCTTAGATAAATTCTTGACCATAGGACTGTGCCAACCACTCTTCTAGCTGTTTTATATTAATAGCTGTGTTACCCATCTACCCTCATGGCATTTATGAAGCCATTTTTCAGATGAGGAAATTGAGGTATACAGATGTTAAGAATCACACACAACTAGTAAGTAGCAGAACTGGGATTCAAAGCCAGGCAATCTGCCTCTTTCCTAGAAAACTATTTTGCATCATGAGTTGAAAGAAATATATATTTCCTCCCAATAACAATGAGAACCCATCTGCCATATCCTCTCTAGAAGAGTAAGGGGAGATAGCAAT